GGGTATGCTAGTAGCTTTGCTATATGGCCACAATTTCTGTCTCTTCTTGGGTAATGTAGGGAGACAAAGCTCACACCTCCAGGAAAAATGTGTGATCAAAAGCACCAAAAGCAGAAGCAATATAAAAGCAGAGACAAAAACCACCACTTTGAAACAAAAATAACACTGTGGCCGATTGTCCAGTCACTTTGCTATACAGGCAGTATGTGTGCACCATAGGACCCTCCAGCAGTAGGTGGGGGTGTCCGCTTGCTCAGGCCCCTCCTCTAGTCACCACCACAGAGGTGCACAGATAGATATTGAGAAGTTAATGGGAGAAAGATTGTCTACTATTTTTGTCTTTGAAGCTCAGTTAGGTATCTGCGTGTGCACAGCGTAATTCTCAAGATAATTGTGTCCTTTTATGTTGGGGTTCTACAGATTGTTCATATGGTTTGTCTTTCAGGCCAGACCAGGTTTTTTCTTGCTGTATAGTAAAGGGTCCTGCACAAGTTATCTTTAGGGCTGGGACCCACAGGATGACAACATAAACAGCCGCCAAGCTCTTTCTCTCTGTGCCGTGAGAAAACTATGGGCACAGCATTGGACTTATTTTTTGGGGGAGGGGTCTACACCCACCTGCCTGAAGTTGTGTGGGCTGGGCAAAGAAGGTGTGACAGGGAAGAAGAGGAAAAATGAGTAGAATTCCCTGTGCCTCCTTTTGCAAATGTCACTGCAACACTTTTAGCGCCGGTTCCCTGTGCCTGTCTGGCTGTAGGCCCACCCTCTGAACTCCATCCTGTCTCAAGTGTTTCCTAACTCGCAGTATTTTCCTTTATATCGTGATTTTTTCACTTGTGCAGGCAATAAACTGATGTCTTGTCTCTTATGCTAGATCCAGAGCTCTGGTGGTGTTCTGTGAGTGGAGCTTCTCTGGATTTTCAATATCTCCCCCACGGAGCCTTTCCTACTTGGCTGTCTCTGCTGCCTACCAAAACTAGAAACCCCTCTTTGCACATTCTTACTGAAGAACATCTGCTGACCGTCTGAAGACCACTAACAGTAGAGGGCTAGGTACTTACATTGAGGGAGGAAGCGGACTCTATCTCCCATGGCTTTAAGTCACCTTTCCCCACAATCCACAATAATGTACAGTGGTTAAGCCCTCGGCGGCTAACCCAAACATTGGGGATTCGAACCAGTAGCCACTCTATCAGAGAAAGACATGACGGCCTTCTTCCCTCAAGATCCCAGTCTAGGAAACCCTACGGGCCAGTTCTACTCTATGATGCTGGTTTGCTATGATCATGATCAACTGCACTGCATGGGTTTTGTGGTCTACCATTGCCAGGGTGGGCAGCATGGACTATGGCTGTCTATATCCTGGGAAAGACACAGCTCAACAAGAGAGCAAGTTTAGAGCCAAGATGAAACTCTAGGGGGTCCCAGAGAGTCAAATCCCATCTAGAACCATGTTTGAGCCTCAAAGTTTTAAAGGGAAATGCACTGCCAACGTTTAAAACTCAGGGGATTTCACAAAAGGATCTGGGTTTGTGGTGGTATCTTTTAAAATTCCCCGCTCCCTCCTCCACACTCCTTCCTTCCTTCACTGGCATCAGCAAATGGGGTTACAAGCAGGTACCTCCATGGATGGGCAGGTGTCCACATCGGGGTCACCAGGCCCAGACGTCTAACCCTAACCCTAACTCTTTAGCACACCTGCCCACTCTCTATGTGTGAAATTCTGGTGAAGACAAAAATGAGTAGAAGATGAACAGAAAACCGTGGTAAACAGTCATTTACTAGAGAGGAGACAGACACCTACGAATAAACAAGGTTCCTGTGAGGTATGAGCAATTTACATATGGTTACTAACCTAAAGATGGTGGTGGCATATCACCAGTGGCACTGTGCAAGAAAGGCCTGGTGATATATTTTAATGGGTGTTGTTGTTAAGATGACAACATTTCAGTTCTAATTCATAGCAACACAACAGAACAAAACACAGCCCAGTCTTGGGCCAACTGCACAATCGTTGTCACTTTTGAGCCACTGTGTCAATCCATCTCACTGAGGGTCTTCCTCCTTTTCCCTGACCCTCTCTACCTTACCAAGCATGATGTCTTTTTTTCCAGGGACTGGTCCCTCCTGGTAACATGTCCAAAGTACGTGAGAAGAAGTCTCGCCATCCTCGCTTCTAAGAAGCAATCTGGCTGAGTGGTGTTGTGTTCATTTTTCTGACTGCTCACGGTATGTGTTAAGTTCTTCACCAACATCATAATTTAAATGCATCCATTTTTCTCCCATCTTTCTTATTCATTTTTCAGTGTTAGGATGTATATGATGTGATTAAGAATACTGTATGGGGAATGCAAGGGTTATGTTGGAGAGGCACTGGACAGTGAACCACAAGGTTGGCAGCTCGAGCCCACCAGCCACTCCATGAGAAAAGGATAAGGCTCGCTTCTCCTGCACAGATTGCAAAAGTCTTGGAAACCCTCTATGGGGTCACTATGAGTTAGAACCGACCTGAGAACACCTAACAACAATAGCCAACCTTATGGAGTAGGTTCTACTTGGCATACATAGGGTCGTCATGAGTCAGGGTCAACTCAGCAACAACAGGCCGCACATTCAGGTAGGAAGAAACAGGGAAGGAACAAAAGCAGAAAGGTTAGGCATTTCCTTAATGTTTTTCTGCCTTCCAGGGAGTCGTATCAAATCTAGTGTTATTTGGATTATGAAAAAGTCCTCCTTACCTCACCCCCAGTTAATATACTGTCGTCCCTACAGTTTAAGAAACCATATTGAGTCTGCTTAATGATATCAGGAGGACCATAAAGATTCCTTTCTGCAATTACATATCTCCATCAACTATTAACAAATTAAGCGTTTCCGAAGTTATGATACATTCAAGACAGCTCATCAGAGTCCGATGCTATTTTGCACATTGGAGATGCATGCAATATTAATGACTCATGATCACAGCCCGATTTTCTTGAGCCTTTTAAAAAATGCATATTAATCGTCTGTTAATGTTACAGTGACCTGTTAAGCACATACCAACTATTCGTTCAGAGCCTTACGTATGTTCAGACCAGTAATTATGGATGTTTTCTGGGCACCCCACAGCACCATGTGGCAACCTCCTTTTTCCCTCTGTTGTTGACGGCTACCTCTGCTATCCCTGCATTACCTGTCGGGGGGGGAAGGTAGCCTCCTGTGTATTTGGCCAAAAATATGCAACTCACTGTCAGCCTGTCCTTTCAGTTTCAATCCTTCAAGTTCAGAAGGCCGACCAACCAACTGACCAACCAACCAACTGACCGATCGACTGACCAAACAACCAACCAACCAATCAACAGACCGACCAACCAACCAATCAACTGACCAATCAATCAACTGACCAACCCACTGCTGTCTAGCAGATTCCAACTCACAGCAATTCTTTAGGACAGAGTAGAACTGCCCTCTAAAGTTTCTAATGCTGCAAACCCTTACAGAAGCAGATGGCTTCATCTTTCTCCTGAGGACTGGCTGGTGGATTCAAACTGTCATCCTTTTGATTAGCAGTCCAACACTTAACCCACTGCACCAATGAAGGCTGAAGCACCAAAGTTCCAATATTCTTGATGGTTACACTTTGGGTATCAGACATGACCTCAGTCATGAGTCTATCTTCTGATTTACCAGGAGCCTGTAACATTGCATAAAAGATCAAGGTCTAGGTTGTGACTGGAAACTGAACCTCCAAGAGAGATCGAGCTCAGGGTGTCACAGAACCCAAAAGAGTAACACCAATTGCCCACCAGTCGATTCTGACTCAAAGTGACCCCATGTGTACCGAGTAAGAACTGTGATCCATACAGTTTTCTTGGTTGTGACCTTTCCAAAGCAGATTGCCAGGTCTTTCTTCTGAGGCTCCTCTGGGTGGGTTTTAGCTGCCAACTTTTTGGTTCATATTTGAGCGTTTAGCCATTTCCACTACCCAGGCCACCCTCAAAAGACACCCTTCCCTATTTCACGAGTCTGCTCCTGGGCGAGTCTAATGTAATTCACCAGCTTTCAATGTGAACAGGAAAATAAGAGAACCGTTGTTTATCAAAACTGTCTGAAAATGGAGAAAGAATGTCCTAGTGATTCACGCGAGACTTTCACTCTTGTTTTACACTTCCATTTTCTGTTTCTCTTTACACTAACAAACATTCTCCTCAAATGAGGCAGAGATAAATAGGCCTTACCCCACGAGTCCTGGGGTGGCGCTATAGGGTAAGGAGACTGCTAAGCGCAAGATTGGCAGTTCAAACCTACCACCTGTTCCTATATAGGGTCGCTATGAGTCAGAAATGATTGGTTGGTGGGTCAGATCCTCCTAGAGGTATCTCTGAAGAAAGGCCTGATGATTTACCTAGAGGTATCTCTGAAGAAAGGCCTGATGATTTACCTAGCGGTATCTCTGAAGAAAGGCCTGATGATTTACCTAGAGGTATCTCTGAAGAAAGGCCTGATGATTTACCTAGCGGTATCTCTGAAGAAAGGCCAGAAAATCAGCCACTGAAAACCACAAGGAGCAGCACAGTTCACTTGGGGTCACCATGAGTTGGAAGCAATACTGCAGCCACTTACTTTGTTTGTATGTTTATGTGTTTCTGCAGAGAAAGTCCAGCAACAATACATGTCTCCCAGGATAAGCCAGCCCTAGAAATTAATACCTTTCAAACTGGATATGGAAGCTACCTCTACCAACACAGTGTGCATCACATAAGAAGAAGAATAAAAGCATTTGAACATTACTATTATTAACTTTAAACGTTCCATATTGCTGCTGTTTGGTAACGTTACCTAAGAGAGCAACGCGCAACATCTTTGCTAAGAAAGAAAGCCACGATCCTCAGATATCCACAGTAAAGGAACTGCTAAATCACAGGAACTCCAGTCCCCAGGCAGGCTCCCCCACGAACTGCCCCTCTTGACCCCTGGCTGTGGGGAAGGACTGGCTTTCAGCCTTGCTGGTTACATACCTGATGGGGAGAGAAGGGTCTCCGGCATCCCACCAGTCTTTCGGGGGGCTGATGTACATGCACCACAGCTCCCAGCTGTACCCGTGGGCTGAGTTCTCGTACCGCTGCACCTCAAAGTTGTCCTGCTTGATATTGTCAATGGAAGGGAGGATCACTCGCTTCCGGTTTTCCTGGATTCGGGATAGGACTGGTTCAGCCCTGAAACACAGAGGAGAAGAAGTAAACTTTCTCCTGGGCCTGTCCACGTGCCAACAGGCACAGAATAGATAAAAGCAACATAACCCAAGGCTGGTACACCGGACTGAATTCAAACTGGTAGAGAAAAGTTGCTGTCAAGTCGATTATGATTATGGCAACCACGTGTGTCTGAGTAGAACTGTGCTCCTTGTGATTTTCAGGGGCTGGTTGTCAGAAGTACATCTTCAGGCCTTTCTTCTGAGGTACCTCTGCCTGGAGTCGAGTCTCCAACATTTTGGTTAGCAGCCGAGTGGATTAACCATTTGTACCACACATGGATTGACTTGTGTGCCCCCCAAAAGGCATATTCAAGTCCTGACCTCAGTACCTGTGGATATGACCTTGTTGGGAAATAGGGTTCATCTATTCTATGTGAGTACGGTGGGTCTCAAGGAATGGGGTGACTCTGTAGGATAAACACTGGACTGCGAAACATGAGTTCTGTGTCCGAGTCTACCAGTTATCCCTCAGTAGAAAGATGAGACTTTCAGTTCCTGCAAAGATTTACAGCTCTGGGAAGCTTATCCAGGGTTACTGTGAGTTGTCAATGACTCTACGGCACTTCACAACAACAACAAGGTTGATCCTAAAATGAACCCCTTCAGAGTAAAACAAACACAGACACACACAGAGAGAAGAGAACAGCTGAAGACCCGTTATAAGCCCAAACCCAAACCAACTGCAATCGAGTCAATTCTAACTCAAAACAGCTCTATGTAAGATTTCCTAGATTGTTAATGTTTACAGGAATAGACAGCCTCGTCTTTCCTCCACAGAGCGGATGGTAGATTTGAACTGCCAACCTTGTGGTTCGCAGCCCAACTCTAAGCTCACTTTGCAACCAGGGCTCCTTTCTTCACGTCAAGGGCTGCCCAAACTGCCCAGGAGTACCAACAACAAAGGCGCTGCCCCCAGCGCTTCTGAGCTGATTTGGACTCGTAGCTCTGAAAACCCTGCCATGTTCTGAATGGCACCCAGTGGCGGTAACGTTAGAAAACTAGCTTTGAGCAGTCTGGAATCCAGTGGAAACTGAAGCTCAACTGCGCTGAGTGACTGGATCATACAGTTTCAAGGGAATGTTGTGAAAGGCAGCAGCCCGGAGTAGTTGCAGGGCTCACCTCACCCCTGTCCTGGTGACTCTGTGGGTGATGCTGGGAGAGAAAATTCAGACCCAGCTCCGAGGGACAGCGCTAGGTCTTCCTTTCCATCAGAGCCAGATAACAGCCCTCCTGTATGATTGCTCTGCACAGCATTTGTATAGCGGTTTAAGTTTCCCCTTGGGGCAATCAATGCCTGCTGCCTTTTGTTTTATTTATTTATTTTGCTGCCTCCCAATTCCCTTTCTCAAAATAGGTCACTTCTGCCCATGATGGTCTGCTTTTAATAAGATTCTCACCAGCTCCTTTGTATGTGTGGAGACTATTTCTGTTGTTTTAATTGATTATTTAATTGATTTCTTGAAAAGGATCTAATTGAATTGGTTAGTGATGGAAGGCTGGGAACTAATTAAACACAAAGTCAGATGGACTCCTGCAACCCCAGCTAGCCCTTCATTCTGAGCAGTGGGCTTCAGAGAGGGCTCTGAGTCCAGCCAGATGCTGGAGGGAGAAGGAGCCTGTCCCAGATTTGAGAAGGAAAAGATGGCTCTTGTATTAATCTTGGCTTCGAATAGAACACTGGCTTTGGAAAAGAGTCAAGTGAAAATTCCATTCCTCTGCATTATTTGCAAGAGTAATGAGAGTGCTCGGCCTACAACCCATCTCTTTTCATTTGCAGCGATTGAATTACCTGTTGGCTCATCTCATCCTTCTATTTAAAACAAGCCATAAAATATCTGCTGGGCCATTTACCGCAGCTGATACTTCTGCATACAACATATAGGCTCAGCCAAGTGGGACTATGCTTTTCAGCCTCGCCTCCTCCAAATCTTCATCCCTGTTCTTCTCGGGAAAACCCTTTTGGCTATCTGTAGAAGGTCTAGCTATCTAGTAGGAACACTGGTGACCACAAGGTGAGCAGTTCAAACCCACCAGCCACTCCATGAACAAAGATGAGGTTTACTGCTCCCGTGAAGATTTACAGACGCAGAAATTCTATATATGCATTGGAACCAACCTGACAGTACTTAGAAACAGCAACACCACCTGATGGTTAAGCACTGGACTGCTAACTGAAAGGTTGGTGGTTGGAACCCACCAGCTGATCTGCAGAAAGAAGAAGAGACCCTCTGCTCCCAGAAGGATTTGGTCTTGGAAACACGGCGGAGCAGTTCTACTCTTGTTCTATAGGATCGTTACGAGCTTGAATGGACTCGAAGGCATAGTAACTAACATCTACTGAGCACTTACTATGAGGAGATACCATTCTAACCAATAGCGTTTTATACACGTGACTGATGTCATCCCAGGACATTTCTAAGAGGCTGATATTATTACCACTTGTTTGACCAATGAGAAAGATGAAGTACAAGAAGGTGAAGTAACTTGCCCCGGCCCCAGTCGCTTAGGCAGAACCAGGGTTCTAACCCAAACGGTCTGGCTTTGGGCTTAACCCCTGAGTAGCCCTTGCCTCCTCTACCCTCCACTTTACCAAACATGATGTCCTTTGACTGGTCCCTCCTGATTATGTATTTTAAGTGTGAGAATCAAAGGCTTGTCATCATGACTGCTAAGGGGCATTCTGATTGTCCTTCCAAACACAGATTTGTTTGTTCTTCTAGTGGTCCATGGTACTTTCAATATTCTTCTCCAACATCTGTCTGTCACTTTGTCATACTGTGGTGGTTTTTGTGTTGCTGTGACACTGGAAGCTAAGCTATAGTTTAAAATAGTAGCTGGGTCACTCACAGTCGACAGGTTTCAGCTGAGCTTGCAGTCTTACCGTCTTTCTATGGCTCTGTGAGTGGGAAACAGCTGAGCATTCCGTCTCTGACAGGTTTCTGACTTACACGAGTTCCAGCTTTCACAGGTCGTACTGTACCTCAGTTTCAAGGGAAATGGTGCTGATGATAACAGCAGTGATGATGGACTAAGTGGACATCAGACACATTTCTCCCTCTTCCCAATTTTATCCCAGACCACGGTCTCCCCCTGCTCTTTAGACTAACCCTTCTTCTCCATTCCAGAAGAATCAGGCAAAGACGTCCCCTCTCAGATTCCAGCCCTCCTGACCACACTGTCTGGCCCAGGGCCCCTATAATTTCTGTGTATCACCTACCAGCCTGCAGTGAATTCCACATGGGCATCGAAGAAGCCGGTGACCTGGCCTGTGGCCACCTTCCAGCCCTCGATGCGGGCCCGGATCAGGCCTTCTCTCTTCTGATTGCGCACCACCTTCACCAGCCCGGGGTAACGTTTGTGGACATACTCCTCCAAGGGGCCCTTCAGCTCCTCTGCAAATGACAAGACACAAGAAAGAACCCTGAACACTCAAGAACAAGTGTGCATCCCACTCCCTGTGATGTCTGTGGATCTACAGGATGGCCAGTGGTGGGGGGATTGTACAAGAGTCTCAATGTTTGCTATTTTGTGTGAGAGCTCCCAGGTGGCCCAAGTGGTAACATGCTTGCATGGTAACCAAACAGTTGGAGGTTTGAATATACTCAGAGGTAACTCAGAAGGCAAGGAGCTCTGGTAGCATAGTGGTTACAAATTGGGCTACTAACCTCAAGGTCAGAAGTTCAATACTACCAGTAGCTCCATGGGAGACAGATGAGGTTTGTGCTCCCATCAAGATTTACAGCCTCGGAAACCCTCTGCAGGGTCGCTATGAGTTGGAACCGACTCCACGGTACTTAACAATAACAACTTAAACCCCTAATATGCATTCACTGAAATATACTTCTCATCATCACTGGCCTCTTGCTATTATTAGCACTAAAGTTATTATGAATAACTTCTCACAAAACAATAGAAGTTTGTTCTTCTAGCATGTTAAAGTCTGCATCCCACTGTATAAACAAGCAATGGTCTCCCTCTTACAAGGGTCTGGGACTTTAGTGTTCCAAACTTTCCATGAAATCGTTCATTGAGGGAACTACCACCACCCAATCAGTGGGTTCCAGAATAAGAGACACTGAACAGACTCCCCTTTCCCAGTGTGTGACTGTGAACTTCACCAGGTTGCGGCCCTGCCTGGATGCATGAGCAGTTCAGACACACGTGTGCATCTTCTCTCGAGATGCTTACAACCTCATTCGGTAGGTAAGACATGCTCAAAGTATTACAAAACAAATGGAGTGGACTGCCAAAGAGAAGTAACAGAATCTCTGTTGAGGGTGTTCATGGAGAAGGAAGTATACGAGCTAAACAGAAGGTTTTATGATGTATGTTTTCATTATGCCAGAATACACAAGCACAAAGCAAAAATAACAAACACAAAACTGGATTCACCTGGAGAACAGGCGATAGAATCGTTAGTGCCAACGTTTAGGTCTGGGTGACTAGGAAGATACTTCTAACAAAGAAGAAGAGACAAGAAAGAACAAGCAGCTGTATTCCCTTGGGGAGAGGCACTAGACTAGTTACAGTTGTAATTTTATTGTCTTCCACAATGTAATAAAATGCCCTCCCAGAGTGTAATGTAATATAATGTAACATACTGAACTTCCATAATATATAATGTAATGACCATCCATAGTGTAATGTAATATAATGTACTATAGAGTAATATAATGTAACATACTGACCTTCCATAATATAATACAATACAATACAAATATAATATGACTGTCCATAATATACTGTAATATAATGTAGTGGTGGTTATGTGCATGGAGTTGGTTCCAACTCATAGTGACCCTGTACAGGGTTTTCAAGGCTGTAAATCTTTACAGGAGCAGAAAGCCTCATCTTTCTCCCATGGAACCACTGGTAGTTTTGAACTGCTAACAGTGAGGTTACCATCCCGACTTATAACCACTACACTACCAGAACTCCTTATAACTAGAGTGGTAATGGTTATGTGCCGTGGAGTCAGTTCTGACTCATAGCGACCCTGTATAGGGTTTCTGAGGCTGTAAATCTTTACAGGAGCAGAAAGCCTCATCTTTCTCCCGTGGAACAGCTGGTAATATCGAACTGCTGACTTTGCAGTTCGCAGCCCAATTTGTAACCACTACGCGATGCAGTGGCCTTATATAATGTGTGTAATATAGTTGAGGTTCAAGCAGACATCCAAAATATACAGCGGAATGGTCTGGACAGTGGTCCAGAAGCCAGACTGTGTGCTTTCACTAGGCCAGGACATTGGGACAGAGTGGTGAGAGGTGACTATTCCATGAAAAGGGATGCAGAACACCCAGAACCACACTTTGGAAAATGTCTGTGTTTAGGAGGCAGGAGGAAGAGCTAGAGAAAGCGACTGGGGAGAAAAGGCAGAGTTTCTAAAAGAAGAATCTGTGCATTTATTTTATTCATATTTATTGGGAGAGCCTTTGTTTGCTGACTTTGGTCATGTCACCAAGAAAGATCAATTGCTAGAAAAGGACATCACGTTGGGTAAAGCAGCAAAGCAGAGGGACAATAAAAACAAAGAGGCACCTAAGGCAGCCCATGAGATGGATTGAGATGGTGCCTGCAGACATGAGCTCAAACATACAGGAGAGAGGCTGGTATCCGACTGGGCAAGACTTGATTCTGTTCCAGATAAGAGTCAGAGTCGACTTGATGGCAATTAACAACAAGCATGAAAATGACACAATCCCTGTCCTCAAAGAGCTACTAGGCACCCAATGTCAGGAGGATCAAATGCACTAGAAACTATGAGAGACGAGGACCAAACAGCAAATAGGTTACTGAAGGGACCAGTAAGAAAAGGAGTGCCTTCTAGACAAGGGTAGGCCCTGTGGTGACAGGGTTAGCACAGAGAGAAATGGGTACATGAGACTGTTTCCAAAGACTTCCAGAAAGCCTGGATCTAGGGGAACATGGAATAGTGGCAGTCTGAGGACACTGGAGTGTTGAGGTTTGGAAAAGGGGTGAACCGAGACTAGGAGTAGGTGGGAAGGGATGTAGGAGTTGTGCAAAAAGATCAAATTCTCATTAAATTGTGTGTGTCTGCAAGTTTACCCCCAGGTTCACCATGGAAGATGGGATGGTTAATTGAATGCATCAACTTGGCTAGGTACGGGTTCCCAGTGGTTTTGCAAAACACTAGAGTAGTTACTGTTCTGTAATAGAATGTAATCATCTTTCGTAAAGTAATGCAATGTAACATAATGTAACATAGTATATTACAACATAATAGAATGAAATGTAACCATTACCCATAATGTAATGTAACATAATGCAAAGCAATCCAATCAATTTACATATTGTAATGTAACCACCTTCCATAATGTCATGTAACGCAATGACGTTCCTTAATGTGATGCAATATTATGTAAAGTAACAAAATTCAATGCCATCTAATCACCTTCCACAATGTAATATAACGTTAACATAATGTAACGTAACGTAATGGACCATAATGCACTGCAATCTAACCACTTTCCACAATGTAACTCAATCAGTCAGTTGAAAAGAGAGTTCCTTAGGGTGTAACCTGCCTCCAAATTATTAAATAGATATTTTGGCAGGTGTTGCTTGACCTCTCTTGTTACTCTTCTTGTCACCTAGTCTATGGGACTTGACACACAGGACTCTAGGAGCCTCCAGGCTGCCACCTTGTCCTCTAGCTTTTGGACTTGCTAGCCTCTACAACTGTGTGAGCCAATCCATCAATAGCTAGCTAGATAGCTAGGCCTCTCTGGTTCTATTTCTCCAGGGAACTGTAAGATAGAAAGAAACCGTCCCCTCAACCTGGCAGGGGTAAAGAAAGTTCACACCCAACATTCTAAGACCCTTTATCATCCATAGCAGATGAAATTCTTCTGGGATACTATAACAATAGTATAAAACCATTTTCGTTTCTTTGTGGGGGTTTGTCCCCCCTCACCAACAAACTCAGAGGGGGAAAAAAAAAGGAAACCTCATTTCTGCCAGAAAACCTGTTTCCCTTCCAGCGTTATACAATCCAATACTAAATTGGTCTAGTGCCTTTTGGGAACCCTAGTGTTTCTTCACATTTTGATAAATAGCATTTGGTCGTCAAGGGGGGTCGAAGCAAACATTTCACGTGATCAGGAGGGACGAGGGACGAGGCAGGGAGATAGAACTGTTCCTTAACAAATAGAAGAAACACCTGCCATCCATCCACTAGGAACTTATAAACCATCCTAAGTAAAGCAAACAATAAAATAAAACCGAATAAACACGCTAACCCATGATTAGAGAATTACACATAGATCCTGTACTTTTCATGATATTCTAGAAGAAACCATCAATAAAGGCCCTTTTCTGTAATCTCTGCTCAGAACAAGGGCTGAACTGGCATTAACAACTCCTCCAAAACTGTTCCCATGCTCTGAGCTAGAACTTGGAGACCATAATGATGTGAGTGAGTGCTGTCCAGGACTGAGCCAAGGTCATATGCTCCAAGTAGTGGGTGACCTTACCTCTCCCCTAGTAAATCTCCCCCCCCACCCACCCACCACCAAGTCTTGGTGATGGAACTTGGGGGCCATCCAAGTTCTCTTCATGGTCAGGAACTTCAGGGAAGGGAGCAGTCTGACAAGCTTAGCCCAGTGTTTCTCAAGCATGAACCTGTGTCCACACTTGCCAGACCATGTGTCGATTTGGCGAGTATTCCCTCCATTCTGTGATCTGATGTAATCGTCCTATGTGTTGTGATGCCTCACCTCTGTGACGCTGAGGGGGCAGGATCCATTCTACAAGATTGGGTTGTATCTTAAGCCAACCTTTTGTGAGATATCAAGAAGGTAAAACAATTAAGCAGAGACCATAGGAGCCTCCTACCACCAAGAAAGGAGCTCTGGTAGTATAGTGGTTACAAATTTAGAAATTACCAGCTGTTCTGCGGGAGAAAGATGAGGCTTTCTGCTCCTGTAAGATTTACAGCCTCTGAAACCCCATACAGGGTCCCTATGAGTCGGAACTGACTCCATGGCACATAACCACCACCACCACCAAGAAGGTGTGTTAGTGTGGCATTGTGGGATAAGCACTCAACTGCAAGATTGATTTAAACCACAAGGTAGGCAGTTCAAACTCACCAATCACTCTTTGGAAACCCTATACAGGGTCACTATGGGTTGGAACAAGCTCAATGCTGCTTGATAACCACCAAGAAAGAAGATCCAGGAATGAAGTGCATGCTGGGACCCTGTGTCCCTGCACTGGGAATGTCCTAGCCCCAAGGAAAGACTGATGACAAGGGTGTTCCCCAGAGCCCACAGATAGAGACAGCCTTCCCCTGGAGCTGATGCCCTGAATTTGGACTTATACTCCTAAACGTGGGGGAATACGCTTCTGCTTGTGACAGCCACCCCTG